TAAAGAAATGGTTTTAGGTAAATTATCAGGTCTTAAAACTGATAAATCTCCTGGACCTGTTGGCCTTCATTGTAGGGTTTTAAAAGAGATGGCTACTGAGATAGTGGATGGCTTGTCTTTGATCTTCCAAAATTCTCTGGATTCTGGAACGGTTCCCATTGATTGGAAGATTGCAAACGTGACACCACTATTTAAGAAGGGTGGGAGAGAAAAGATGGGGAACTATAGACCAGTTAGTCTGACATCAGTAGTTGGGAAAATTCTTGAATCCTTAATTGAGGATGTCGTTATGGGATTCCTGGAAGACCATAACAAGATTAGGCAGTCAACATAGCTTTACAAAAGGCAAGTCATGCTTTACTAATCTTTTAGAGTTTTTTGAAGATGTATTTAGCAGGTTAGATAGGGGGGAACCAGTAGATGTAGTATATTTAGATTTTAAAAAGGCATTTGACAAAGTGCCACACAAAAGGCTATTGCACAAGGTTAAGGCCCACGGGATTAATGGGAACATATTAACATGGATTGAAGAGTAGAACGGGTAGAAAACAGAGAGTAGAGATAAACGGGTCATTCTCGAATTGGCAGGAGGTGACTAGTGGAGTGCCACAAGTATCAGTGTTTGGGCCTCAGCTATTTACAATTCACATCAATGATCTAGACGAGGACGTTGAATGTAACATATCTAAATTCGCGGATGACACTAAACTCGGTGGGAGAGTGAGCTCTGAGGATGATCCAAAAAGATTGCAAAGGGATATAGACAGGCGAGGGGAGTGCCAAACTGCACCTAAATTAGAGAGAGAGCGCATTCCATTCCAACAATCCATCTCTGGGATTTCCATGTGTAGGTGGGATGCGTGAATTTCTCAGTTTGGTTGGAGAATTCTTAAGCATGGTAATGGGTAACCCTCAGACACCGGGCTAACCCCCAAAAACTCATAGAATTATACAGCACAGAAGGAGGTCATTCAGGCCATCATGTCTATACCAGGTCTTTTAGAAGAGCTATTCAAATCAATCCAATCCATTCAAATCAAACTGCTACCTTGCTACCAAAGAAGATTGGTAAACTCGACAGATGATCATCAAATCAGTCCAATTGCTGCCATCACACCAGTCCTTGCCAAGCTCCACTGGCTCCCAATCACCGAACCAATCAATTTCAAGATCCTCTCACTCATTTTCAAACCCCTTCATGCCTTCCCTACCTCTCCAACCTTCTTATTTCCCACTTCCACTAACCGTCGCTTCCGCTCGGCTGGCTCCGGCCTTCTGTTTGTCCCCGGTGCCCTCCGTACCATCATCGGTGGCTGTGCCTTCAGCCACTATGCTGAAACTCTGGGGCTCTCTCCCTCAATTACTCCCTTGACCCCATCCTCCCCATCTTCAAATCCCATATAAAGACCATCCTTTTTCATCGTGCTTACAGTCACTGCACCTCCCCTCCCGCACCCCCACCCTCCTCAGCCCGTTGTCAGACTCGGACAATGTAAAGCATTCTGGGACGTTACCCCACATGAAGGGCACTATATAAGTGCAAGTTGTTGTTGATCATGTTGATTGCATTCTACACGAGATAGATAACAACAACAACTTGGCTTTATATAGCGCCCTCCATGCCGGACAGCATCTCAGAGCACTTAGATAACACCAATGATCACGGATACCAAACAGAAAAGGTTACTATAAAAACAAAATCACTGCTGTACGCTGAACGGGGATTTTACCGAAATTCAACGTACGTTGATGACAGGAAGTTTGTTTGGAAAGTAACAATTTTGAACTTCAGCTTTTTGGCCTACAGGTCAACAACCATTTGAGAATAATAATAATCCTTGCATTTGATATAGCGCTTTTCACGTCAGGAGGACGTCCCAAAGCGCTTCACAGAACACACAGTAAAGTGAATTGACTGTATATTTGTGGGCGAACGCGGCAGCCAATTGCGCACAGCAATGTCCCACAAACAGTCATGGATTGAAAATGACCAATTTATTATTGTTTTGTTTTGGAGGGATTATTATTAGGCTCTGTGTGGAGTAAGGAAACTTGCCCGAGGTTTCGCCCTCTGCCTGGAATTGAACCCAGGTGTCTCGCTTGCAAGGCGAGTGCTCTAACCACCGAGCTACAGGATTCCACAAAATACCTGTATGTAGCTTGCATTTTATGTAGACTGTGATCGCATCAAGATATCTCAAAGCATTTCACAGAATATACTATAAAATATATACTATATAAACACATAAGTTGTTGGGAACACTCAGCAGGTCAGGCAGCATCTATGGAGAAAGGAAAGTGAGTCAAACTTTCGGGTCCACAACCCTTCGTCAGAACTGGGGCATGTTAGGAGGGAGAGGATTTTAAGGTCTAAAAAAGAGGGGGAAGGCAGGGAAAGGAAGTCAAAGGAGAAAGTGGGGTAGAGGACAGGGGATGATGGGTGAAAGAGGTGTTAATGGTGCAAAATAATGGGGGGATTGCAAAAAATCGGGAATAGAAGTGTTAATAATGCAAAACACAGTGTGGGGGGGGGGGTGGGAGGGTGGGGGGGAGTGGCTGGGAAATTGCAAAACATAGGCAGACCAGAAAGAGAAAAGGTGTGTCTGAGGACCCAGATTATGTGGTAATGGTCGCAGAAGAGGGAGAGGGAGAAATAATAATAATAATAATAATCCTTGCATTTGATATAGCGCTTTCCACGTCGGGAGGACGTCCCAAAGCGCTTCACAGAACATACTGTAAAGTGAATTGACTGTATATTTGTGGGCGAACGCGGCAGCCAATTGCGCACAGCAATGTCCCACAAACAGTCGTAGATTGTAAATGACCAATTTATTATTGTTTTGGTTTTGGAGGGATTATTATTAGGCTCTGTGTGGAGTAAGGAAACTTGCCCAAGGTTTCGCCCTCTGCCTGGAATTGAACTCAGGTCTCTCACTTGCAAAGCGAGTGCTCTAACCACTGAGCTACAGGACTCCACGAGCTGTTGAAAGTGAGCTGTTATGGCCTGAATTTGTTAAAATCAATATTGAGGCCAGAGGGCTGTAAGGTCCCTGGCAGATCAATGAGGTGCTGTTCCTCGAGCTTCCGCTGTGGCTCATTGGCACAGCGAAGGAGACCATGGATGGGGAGGTCAGAGTGCGAGTGGGAGAGAGAGTTGAAGTGGCTGAATTGAGGACTATTCGACGATTCCAGAGTGTGCAAGTCGCCAGCACTCTCACCTCGGTGTCATAGGGTTGTGCTGTTCAAGCCCCACGTCAGGAATTTGAACTCATACAGTTTGGACTCTTGGCCGACACACCAGCCAAGTGCTGGGGAGAGATACTGCATCACCTGTGCTGCCGTCGTTCAGATGAGATGTTAAACCTCGTTCAGTTGGACCTTCCCTCAGACAAGATCCCACAGAGAAGGCAATTTCTCTCTCCTGGTGTCATGGCCAACAATCTCCTCCAGATAAACTGGTCACTCACTCCATGGCTGTTTGTGGGACACTGCTGTGTGCAAATTGGCTGTGCATTTGCCCAAATCCACATTTTACGATAAATCCTGTTCGCACTTTGAGATATCCTCAGGGGTCTGGGCGAAGGGAGTGCCAGCTCCACATCCCTCGCCCTGTCCACCCCACCATCAGCGGTCAGGCCTTCAGCTTTTCTGCCCCAGCTTTTGGAACTTCATCCCACATGTCCTTCGCCCTTGCCTCCTTCAAGGCCCATCTCAAGACCTTCCACCTTCAGTCACCCTCACCTTGGGACATCCTCCTGACGTAAAAGGTGTTATACAATGTAATTTGTTGTTACTGTAAAATGCATCCATTTGTTTCTAGTGACTTAATAAATAAAGTGACAAGCATGCATATGCAAGTAAATCTTTGAAGGTGGCAGGACAGGTAGATAACGCTGTTTTTAAAAAAAGCATACAAGATACTAGGCTTTATAAACAGTGGCATAGAATACAAAAGTCAGGAAGTTATGATGAACGTTTATAAAATACTTGTTAGGCCTCAGCGAGAGACTGTGTTCAGTTCTGGACCCCACACTTTAGGAGGATGTCAAGACATTGGACAGTGTGCAAAGAAGATTTATAGGATGGTACCAGGAATGAGGGACTTCAGTTATGAGGAAAGGTTAGAGACGCTTGGACTATTCTTGAGGTAGATAAGGTTAAGAGGAGACTTAATAGAAGTTTTCAAAATTATGAGGGGATTTGATCGGGTGAACAAAGAGAAATTATTTCCACTGGAGGGTGGGTCGGTAACCCGAGAACACTGATTTAAAAGTTGTTAAAAGAAACTGGTGAGGAGGTGCGGAGAACTGTGTTCACACAGTGAGTTGTTGGGATCTGGAATGCATTGCTTGAAAGGGTGGTTGAAGCCGATTTGATAACAGCTTTTAAGAGAGTAGATAATTATTGGTGGAGGACAAGTTTGCAGTGTTGTGGGGAGAGCGCGGGTGAGTGGGATTGATTTGGAAGTTCTTTTCAAAGAGCTGTCACAGACACGATGGGCCGAATGGCCTCTTTCTGTGCTGTATAACTTTATGATTCTATGAATAGTATCCTGTATCCTGTATGGGGAACCTTAGCTATGAGGACAGTGGAGAAGTTAGGACTTTTCCTTTTAGAGCAGAGAAGGTTACACGGGACCTGATAGAGGTCTTCAAGATCATGAAAGGTTTCGACAGGCGAGATAGGGAAAAGCTGTTTCCACTGGTAGGTGTGTCTGTGACTCATGGTCATAGTCTTAAGATATCTACCAAAAGAAGCAGAGGGGAGGTTAGAAGAAATGTTTTCACTCAGCGAGTTGTTCGAATTTGGAATGATCTGCCCGAAAGGGATTCGATAACAGCTTTTAAGAGAGAACTGGATAGGTATCTGGGGAGGACGGGTTTGCAGGTTATGGGGAGAAAGTTGGTGATTGGGGTTAGTGAAAGTGATGCTGTCAAAGAGCCGCACAGACTCGATGGGCCGAATGGCCTCCTTTTGTGCCGTAACATTCTATGAATCTATGAAAATCTATGAAGAGTGAAAGATTGAAAACGAGTGCAACTATCTTGAAACCAATCCTTTTGGCAATAGACATCCCACGAAGCCTGGCTAGAACTGGTGTGAAGGGAGTACGGAGTTTACTATGGGTGCGTATGCGGGCGGCGGAGCTTGGGATCAGCTGAATTTTGTGGATGATGGAGCTGGGGAGACCGGCGAGGAAGGTGTTTAAATAATCAGGAACAAAGACACAAGCTCAGAATTTTCACATGGCAGTGTTAAATTGGAGAATAGAAGACATCTTCAAAAAGGAGCGTTACTGGAACGTGAAATACAACACAATTTACAGTACAATTCAAATGTATATTTGCCCGCAAAGTACTGTCACAGCCACACAACTTCGTTGTGTGTCCTGCGAAGTGTTTTGGGAAGTCGTTATAAGGCGTTAATATAATTTGCAATACAAATTTACATTTATACAGCGCCTTTCAAGTTGAGAGAACGCCCGAGGCACTTGACGCTCCTGGCTCGGCTGTCACAGGATACTGGGTCCAAGACATTACTCGAGGGAAAAGTGTAATACAGTATAAGTTGTTGCTGTTGTCTCTGTAATTCCGGTGTGAGCCTGCTGGTGGCGCTGCAGTACCACCTTAGCATCCAATCAGCGCCGCCTATAGTCAATGGCCGCAGTTCTTAGAGGAGAGACTGATGTGAGTTTCCAAGGGATCTGATGGGACCATATCAACCCTGGAGGGAGGACGGCACAGAGGCTTCGCCTGGACAAGGCGAGTGACAGATGGAGGAAGGGGAGACCTGGAGCCGGAGATGAGGGGTTTGACTTCCTGGAGGTCAATCGAGGTGGAGATTTTTCCTTTGTCGCTTTGTTCTCGACTCACACCTAAAGGAAACCGAGGAAGGAAAGTCATTTCAGTTCTGACCGAAGATGTACTGGCGAGAAAGATGGAACGTGTGAGAGGCCAACATTGCCCTGGAAACTCCTCTTGGGGAGCGAGGAAATATTCCGAGTTCATATTATATAAATTTGATAATCATAAAAATCATAATTAATCCAGCAACTTGGGACGTCCTCCCGAAGTGAAAGGCACAATAAAATGTAATTTTGTTGTTTTTGTTGTTGTTGTAATAATCCTTGCATCTATGTAGGGGCAGTGGCCGGAGAAGACAGAGTGAATAGTCAGGGAGGGGTGGAAGGGGACATGGCAGGGAGGACAATGCAGCCAAAGAGGCGAAGAGGTTCTAGGACCTCTTCGCACTTGACCTTTGAAGTGAGGATCGAGGGGTCTTGAAAGAGGTACATGGAAGAGGTGATGGACGGTGGAAAAGAGCGTCTTTGGATTGTTATTTGCCTCCAGGATGACTTTGGAGTAAAAGTCAGTTTTGGCCTGTGAAAGGAAGAGGTGGTAGATGCGAGTTGCCAAGCCTCAGCTGACAGTGAATCATGAGGCCGGATTTCTACCATCTGCGCTCGAGCATCCGGGTTTGTGTTTTGAGTGAGCGGAGATGGCAACAACGACAACAAAATTACAATGACTGTTGTACCAGGGGGAGCAAGTGGGTTTCAGGGGAGCCAGGGGAATTGAAGGTTGTGGAGATACAATCATTCGATGGCTGCATCAGGATCACCCGCGGGTGGAGGCCAGAGGGGGAGGAGGTCTGAGGAAGAGAGGGCATTTATGAGGGACTCAGGAGAAAGCTTTTTCCAGGGGTGGAAAAAAATGGTGGAGGGGTTTGGAAGAGGGGAGGGGGATGAGGAGAAAGAGATGAGCAAGTGGTCCGAGGTGGCCTTGTCCGTGATAGACAGGTCAGGAATGTCAAGGCTGTGTGTGATGATGAGGTCGAGGGTGTGGTCACAGTTGTGGGTCGGCAAGGTCGATGTGGAGGGTGAAGTTTGGGGAGGAGAGGAGGCCAGTGAAATCCAAGGAGGTGGTGCAAAGGGGAGTTTAGGTGGAGGTTGAAATCATCCATTATGAGCAGGGGTTCAGTGCAGAGGAACAGGGATGAGAGGAGACGGGAGGAAGGAGCCAGGAGGTTTGGGGGGTGGGGGAGCGGTAAACTAGGAGGATTTTGAGGGAGAGCGGGGAGGGATGGTAGAGGGTGAAGTGCTCAAAGGAGGAGAAACAGCCAGAGGAATAGGGGGATAGACCAAGGGAAGCTTGGCAACCTCAAAGCTGTTCATAGGATTTAGTGGAAAGTGCGGGGACTTTGTTGGTGTATTTGTCGGTGAATGTGACAGCCAATTTGGACACGTTCCACAAACAGGGTCGATTTTATTCAGGGAATTGCCGGCCAACTCCTTTCTCATTTTGAATAGCTTTGCGGGATCTTTATCGAGCAGGCAAAGACGGAAACACCTCTCATCTGAAACAATGCAGTGCTCTGCGTTGCTCACTGCTGGAGCATCAGCCTCGACTACGAGCTCAAAGGATTAATCCCACAACTCTCTGACATATGAGGCAGGAGTGCGATCAATGAAGCCAGGCTCATGCGGCAGTTATAACATTCAAAGTGCTTCACGGGGAATATTATATAGTGACTATCCATTTGTAGTGGAAACATAATGAATTTTGCATAGCGCTTTATCAAGTCTTCGAGACGTCACAAAGTGCTTCGCAGGATATGTGGTAAAGTGGATTGTGTATTTTGTGAGCGAAACATAGCAGCCAATTTGATCACAAACGTGGGAGCATCTACATAGTGATTTCAGGACACGGTGGGGAGGGGCAGAGAAAGAGGAGTGTCAGAACTCACGCACAAGCCACTTACACTTATTAGTGCTGCAATAAACTGTAGGAGCTGTCTCCAATCGTTGCATATTGAGACTCGTCATCTGGAAGGAGACAAAATAAAAGGGAGTGAGCGAGCTGAGGACAGCGTGACTAGCGTTTGTACAACAATCTCCCAAACCGGCAGCCCGGCTCCAACTTAAAGAGCATTTCTCCTTGTTTCGGGCCAAGCCTCCAGTTCACATCCCACTCCTCTACCACCACTACGCCCCCCACCCCCTCCCCCGTACCCCCACCACTTTGCTCAGCCGGCTCGGACCTTCTGCTTGTCCCCCTTCCCCTCCGCTCCACCATTCTTTCAGCCACTATGCCTTGAAACTCTGGAACTCTGCCTCTTGCCCCTCCTCACCCATCATCGGATCATGCCTGAGGAGCTTCCTCTTCAGCTGTGCCTACAGTCACAGGGTGGAGGGGTAACTGAAAGCTCGACCATCGATGGTGGGATGGAGGGAATGAGCGGAGGAGGTGGACGGTGCGACAGAGAGAGCAAAAATAACGGACGAGTGCGCTCATTGCAATCTAGGAGACAGCAAGAGGCAGGGATGGAGGGATCCAGATCCCAAGGAGCGGAGTGGGGTTTGCAACTGAAGCCAAGAGTGTACAGGCGAACAAGCTGGCTTGTGCTGGCGTGTGGTGTCATGTGCTGGAGTGTGGTGGCATGTGCTGACGTGTGCTAGCGTGTGCTGGCGTGTGCTGACTCACATGCATTCTGCGGTACTGGCAGGGGGTTCCGTCTGTAACATAAGGAAGCGATGAGCCAATTATCAAAACATTAATCTACACATTTGATTGGAACGTCAGCCCCCTCCCTCGCCCAGGGACCAGGCTGAGATCAGCAACTCTGGGGAGACGTTTGGGCTGAGGATTGGTTACTTTGGGTGTAGGGGGTGAGGTCAGGATTTGGCCAACTTGGCTCCATCTTTTGGCCTCCTCCCAACATGATTGGTGGACCAATGTGCTGTGGCCGATGTCAGTCTGGGTGAGGGGGGGCGGGAGGTGACCCAGAGGTGAGAGCACAGGTAATACACGCTCAGATAAAGGGGGTGGGGAGGGTGGGGGGGTGTAATAAACAGTCTGGAGCAGCCCTCCCCCCATTACCTTGTGTTGTTGGAATTCCGGGGTCCACTCAGCCCCCTCTGGGCATTGTAATAATTCTCATAAGGGATAATAGCTGAGAAAGAAATGGTATTTATATTAATATTCTGCTGTTGGTGAGGACGGGGGGGGGGGAGAGAGAGCATCACAGCCTATCACACGCACTTATCAGATGCCTAAAATTCTGTTATAATCCGTCTTCACACCATGCCCAGCCCTGAACACTCTCAGTATCTCACCCCAAGTAATCACTCTCATTCGAGTGTGTGTGTGTGTTCGAAACTGCTCCTAAACTCTGCCGTCCGGATTCTCACCCACACTAAACTCCGCACCCCCATCAGCCCAGTCCTCGCCAGGCTCCACTGGCTCCCTGTCACAGAACGGATCGACTTCAAGATCCACTCGTTTACAAGTCCCTTCATGCCCTGGCATCTCCACACCTCTCTTATAGACTGGCTTACTCCCCACTCCACCACCCCCACCTCCACTCAACTGGCTCTGGCCTCCTGCTTGTCCCTCATCCCCTCCACCATCGGCAGCCATGTTTTCAGCCTCAACACTCAGGTCCCCTCGCTTGCAAGGCGAGTGCTCTAACCGCCGAGCTACAGGACTCGCAGCACACAGCGGGCCTGTGTGATTCATTGGAAGATCCACATTATATTACGTCCCCCAACCCCCACACCCCTGACAGGACGGCGGGAAGGAGGCTACCTGGGGGTGTGTCGCCAGTTCGCTTCAAGTCTACGTAGAATTCCAAGTCCTTTTGGATGTTGCACTGTTCCAGAACCTTCCGGATCTCTTCATACGTCTGAGGAAGATGAGGAGGATTAAGGAAAAAAGAACGATGAGAATCTTCAGCCCAAAAGCTGGCAAGGTTTTCACTTCCCAACATCACGTGCTCAGTTGCATCTCATTACCAGGGAGTGTGAGTGTGAGAGAGAGTGAGTGTGTGAGTGTGTGAGAGAGACTGTGTGAGAGAGAGTGAGAGTGAGTGTGTGTGTGAGAGAGCGTGAGAGAACGTGTGAGAGAGCGTGAGTGTGAGAGCGTGAGTGTGAGAGAGTGAGTGTGTGTGAGAGCGTGAGAGAACGTGTGAGAGAGTGAGTGTGTGTGAGTGAGAGAACGTGTGAGAGAGTGAGTGTGTGTGAGAGTGAGAGAACGTGTGAGAGAGTGAGTGTGTGTGAGAGTGAGAGAACGTGTGAGAGAGTGAGTGTGTGTGAGTGAGAGAACGTGTGAGAGAGTGAGTGTGTGTGAGAGTGAGAGAACGTGTGAGAGAGTGAGTGTGTGTGTGAGTGTGTGAGAGTGAGAGAACGTGTGAGAGAGTGAGTGTGTGTGAGAGTGAGAGAACGTGTGAGAGAGTGAGTGTGTGTGAGAGTGTGTGAGAGTGAGAGAACGTGTGAGAGAGTGAGTGTGTGAGAGAGTGAGAGAACGTGTGAGAGAGTGAGTGTGTGTGAGAGAGAGTGAGTGTGTGTGAGAGTGAGTGCGTGTGTGTGTGAGAGTGAGACTGTGTGTGTGTGTGTGTATAAGAGAGAGAAAGAGTTCATCTGTGACGAGGAACAGAATGTCTCACAATGTGAGGCCAGGGGACACCAAGCTCTGGGTCTCACAATGCACACTAATTTGGACACTAATAATAAAATATGCACAAAATAATAATAATAATCTTAGCATTTGATACAGTGCCTTTATCACCTCATTGAGACTCTCAAAGCGATGCACAGATTATACTCCCGAGTGAACTGACTCAGTACTTTGTGGGCTTAAACGTGGCAACCAATTGCACACAGCAGTGTCCCACAAACAGTCGTGGGTTGAGTAACCAAATCACTTTTTTTTTTAGGGATTATTACTCCCCGGAAAAGCGATCGATTAACAACCGGGTTCCTACTTACTGCGAGGTGGGGAGGAAGGAAACTCGCCACAGAGGCGCGTGGACTAAGGAAACTTGCCTGGCGTTTCACCCTGCCTGGGAATCGAACCCAGGTCCTCTCGCTTGCGCGGCGAGTGTTCTAACCACTACGCTACATGATTCCACACTATAAATGGACCTTCCCCACCCCTCAGTGTCCACACGTGCCCGGTGTAGAGATAGTGCTGAGCTCTCACCTCGTCATTGGCCACACACTCCTGTGACAGCAGGTTGGAATGGACCCACATGGTGTTCCTCAGGCCGTGGATCCTCTCACAATCCTGCTGTTCCAGCATCTAAACCAGATCCAACACATTCACGTTGAATGACTGAGCATGCACCACTACGGCTCCCTCCACACTGCGTCCACACTCCCAGGTCAGGGTTAGAGACACAGTAAAGCTCCTCTACACTGTGCGTCCACACTCCCAGGTCAGGGTTAGAGACGCAGTAAAGCTCTCTCTACACTGTGCGTCCACACTCCCAGGTCAGGGTTAGAGACACAGTAGAGCTCCTCTACACCTTGCGTCCACACTCCCAGGTCAGGGTTAGAGACACAGTAAAGCTCCTCTACACTGTGCGTCCACACTCCCAGGTCAGGGTTAGAGACACAGTAAAGCTCCTCTACACTGTGCGTCCACACTCCCAGGTCAGGGTTAGAGACACAGTAAAGCTCCTCTACACTGTGCGTCCACACTCCCAGGTCAGGGTTAGAGACACAGTAAAGCTCTACACTGTCTTGACTGTTTTCTAATTTATTAATGCATATAATTGATTGTGGGATGTGTCAACCACATTGTACCTTTAATGTTAAAGGAGCAGATACATGTGTCACAAATGTGACAGGTATCTCTTACCTCCCCACTCCACCACCCGCTGCCTCTGCTCGGCTGGCTATGGCCTCCTGCTTGTCCCTCATACCACCCCCTCCAGCATCGGTGGCCGTGCTTTCAGCCACTAAGTCCCGAAACCATGGAACTCTCTCCCTCAATCCTTCCGCCTTGCACCCATTTCCAGATCACATCTGAAGACCTTCCTCTTTGACCAAGCTTACAGTCACCTCCCCTCTCCCCCCCAACCCCCGCCCGGCTCGGTGTCAAGCTCTGCCGCTGTTAAGCACTCCGAGAGGCAGCCCCGCGTGAAGGGCACTGTGCAATGCGCGTTGTCGCTGTTGTTTGCAATAGGCGGCTCCTACCTCACATGTCCGTATGTGCTCTGTCTCCCAGTCCTTCTGGATCTTCTCTAGGTTCGAAACGTTCTGATAGTAGACTCGATCTGTGTGGGGGTGGGGGATGTGGGGGGAGAGTTAACAAACATCAGTCAGTCCTCGGGAGTGGGGAGCAAGTCAAACCCTGGCGACAGAGTGGAGGCCTGTAGCTCAGTGGTTGGAGAACTCGCCTTGCGAGCAAGAGGACCTGGGTTCAATTCCTGGGCAGAGTGAAACCTTAAGCCTCATTTTAATATTCAAACCCTCAATGGGACTGTCCACGGCCAGAGTGGGATTAAAGGGCCCAGGAGTCACTGAGCACAACGTCAGAGCATGTTAGTCCTTGCCTCCCCCCTCCCCCCCACCCCCCGGTGTACCACCAACCCCTTCCCACCCCTACCAAACCCAGCCCTAGCCCCCCCGCTGCCCCTCACCCAGGACCCCCTCCCCCAGATCTGCACCCAACACCTCCTCCCCACCTCCCACAGCCCCACCCTCCCAGTGTGTATCGCCACCCCCTTCCCACCACTTCGACCCCCAGAACCCCCAACCCTCCTCTCCACCCAGAACCCCCACACACGCACTCACCAGCCTCATCTGCCACTTGCTTACTCTGGTGAGCTTTGGCTTGGAGCTGGAACAGAAATTCACAGAGGTTAGTGATCAGTTACTAGTCACACACAGAGGTTAGTGATCAGTAACTAGACACACATGGAAGTTGGGGGGTGGCTATTACCTTCTCTATCTGTTTAACGTTGGTTAATCCAGTGTTTCTGTTCATCTGCTGCTCAGCCTCATCCTTGTCTTTACATTTCTGTTCGTACGTCTTCTTGGACTGCGGTGAATGACCACAATGCTTAGTGTTAACTCGTACAACAAGTTGCGTTTGAATAGTAATGAATAGTAAAACTCACATAAGTCGTTATTAGGCAGCGCCTTGGGACGTCCTCCCGACATGAAAGGCGCTCTATAAATGGAATCTTGTTGTTGTATCTTGTTGTATTAGGGTCCATAACATTTAATATGACTTAGGTGAAGTCCGAGTTACAGACAAACTCCGATTTAATCAATAATCTTCACTGTAATTCAATGCTGCTGGTAAGTGCGGGAGGAATGGAGGGTAGGGGAGCGGTGATACGAAGGCGATTAATATGAGCTGTGTAGAGAAATAGGAAACTAAATGGGACTCGGGCGAATAAATATAATAATCCTAACATTTGGTATAGCACCTTATCACGTCTTTGTGACGTCTCAAAGCGCTTCCAGAACAGACTGTAAAGTGAATGGGCACTATATTTTGTGGGCGAAACGCAGCAGCCAATTACGTACTGCAGCGTCCCACAAACAGTCGTGGATTGAAGTGACCGATTTATTTTTTTGAGGGGATTACTACACCCGGAAAAGCAATCCACCAATCGACTAACAACCGGGTTCCTACTTACTGCTAGGTACGCAGAGGCGTGTGGAGTAAGGAAAATTGCTCAAAATTTTACCCTAACGGGAATCGAATCCAGGTGTCTCACTTGAGAGGCGAGCGCTCTAACCACTGAAGTGCAGGATTCCACATATAGACATATGCAATTAAATGATTTATAAAGATAAGACTTATGCGAGTTTTACTGTATAACAATCATCTTTGCATTTCATGACCTTTTCACATCATCAAGACATCAATGTAGACATTTATTAGTAGGGGCATAGAGTATAAGAGTAGGGAGTTTATGGTTAATCTATACAAAACACTGGTTAGGCCTCAGCTGGAGTACTGCGTCCAGTTCTGGGCACCTTACATCAGGAAGGACATTAAGGCACTGGAAAGGGTGCAGAGGAGATTCACGAGAATGATACCAGGAATGGGGAAACTTAGCTATGAGGACAGTGGAGAAGTTAGGACTTTTCCCATTAGAGCAGAGAAGGTTACGTGGGGGCCGTAGGCACGGTTGATGAGGAAGGTCTTCAGGTGCGACCCGAAGATGGGGAGGGAAGGGGAAAGGCGGGGAGATAGAGGAAGAGTGTTCCAGATTTTGGGGGCGTAGTAGCTGAAAGCTAAACGGTGGCAGTGAAAGGCAGACTCACGTCCATGGTTTTCTTGTAAAAAGCTGACTTCTGTTTGTGAAGATTCTCCATCACATGTTCCACCTGTGACGAGAGAGTGTGAGTGTGAGCGACTGAGGCTATGATAATAATAATAATCCTTGCATTGATATAGCGCCTTATCACGTCTTCGAGACGTCTCAAAGCGCTTCAGAGAATATACTGTAAAGTGAATCGACTGTATATTTTGTGGGCGAAACGCGGCAGCCAATTGCATAGAGTAGTGTCCCACAAACAGTCGTGGATTGAGTGACCAAATTATTAATTTTGTTTTTGAAGGGATTATAGAGATTCGCACTCAACTAAAGCCCGGGTTCCTACTAACTGATGGGTAAACAGTGGTGTGTGGAGTCAGGAAACTTGCCTAAGGTTTTTGCTTCGCCCGGGAATCGAACCAGGGTCCTCTCACTTGTGAGGTGAGTGCTCTAACCACTGAGCTACAGGACATCATGATGATACCAGCGGGCTCAAGACTTGGCTAAACAGGGCAGCTAGTGTTATGTCTCTGTCTGGGTTCAATGTCAGCAGAGGCATTCTTCCTCTAAGCTGTATCGGTTACTGAACTCCAGCACTTCCTCATTTTAGATGGAAACAAAATCGTTCGTCCCCTTTGATGTTGTGACAGACATTGAGGCCTGGAGGAGCCTCGAATTCCATCAGCCGTGAATGTCAGGCTAGACAACAGCAACAACACCAAATTGCATTTACACCGGGATTACGGAGAGGAAGGCTGACTGCCGATGGTGGAGTGGGCAGTGTGATGGACGTGGAGTCATACGAGGGCTCTCGGAGTGGAGAGAGCGGGCAGACTGGGAGGGAGTGATCTTTAAGCGGAGCAGAGTGAGAGAGAAAGATGGCAAGGGAGGGAGGGGTCGATCACAGCTCACACACTTTCTTCCGTGCATCCTTCTGTTTTTCCCGGAAATCTTCCAGTTTCTTCACCTCTTCCCGCAGGTTGCTGGCCAGCTGTATGTGGGACAATCCCACGTTCTCAATCTCTGAAGAAACAGAGCAGAACCATCACAACGTTACAGAGAGAGAGAGAGAGGGAGAGAGACCATCGGCCACAGAGCTGCTCCAAACAGTTCATTAAATAACAACACATTACATTTACACAGCGCCTTTCACGTCAGGAGAACGTCCCAAGGTGCAGAATAATCAGGGAGTTGGACCCGAGCTGGGGGTTGGGATTAGGAGGGGTGGAGGGCAGGGTGGGTGGGGGTAGGAGGGTGACCGAAACCGCAGTCGAAGAGGAAGGTTTTCGCAGAGTTTCTGATCCCAGCTCATCCCAGTTTAAGAGAGAGTGAGAGAGAGAGTGAGCGAGAGTACGAGTGAGGCAAAAGAGTGAGAGAGCAACAGAATGAAAGTTGGAGTGAGAGAGAGAGAGAGAGAGTGTGAATGAGTGCCCAATCTCATCCTGACTCATTCTCCCAACACAAAAGCTACTATATAAACTTAAAATGTATTGTCTGGCCTTTCCCCACAAGTAAGCACAGAATAATCTTCGCTGATCGGCCCAGGGCACAGGTCCAAGGGGGACGAGGGTCAACACCAGGAAGCATCCAAGCAGAAGGTTACCATGCTAACACAGAGTGTGGGGGTGAAGGCCAGACCGCCACTGGTGGAGCGGGCAGGGTGAGGGACATGGAGCAGGCTGGAGCTTGCTGAGCGGAGGGAGTGGACAGGTTTAGTAAAGGTTTAGCAGGTCGCAGAGGGAGGAGTGAGGCCGTTTGAAGCGAGAACGAGGATTTTGAACTCTATCCTCTGGGGGGATGAGAAACCAATGGAACTGGGTGAGGATGGGGGAGATGGAGTCACGGAGCCTGGTGCGGGAGAGGACACGAGCTGCAGAGTTCTGGATGATCTGCAGCTTGTGGAGGGAAGCGTTGGGGAGGCCGACAAGCAGAGAGGTGGTGTGGTTGAGTCTCGATGTGATGAATGTGAGAATAAGGGTCTCGACGGCCTGAGGGCAGAGGCAGTGGTGGAGTCGGGCGATGGTGTGGAGGTGGGGGAAGGCAGAGCGGGTTCATGGCATGAGGGACGGAAGGAGGAGTTAGGAGCAGCAGATCAGAGGAGGGAGCAGACGGGGGCAGGACCTGCAGGAGATAGCGGGAGGAAAGGGCGAGGGCTAGGATGTGGCGGGGTTTGATCAGGAGCTGGTCAGGCACTCACAGGCCCAGGGCACAGACCACTGTATAAGCCAGTCACAAAATAGGCAGAAAATTAATGGCTGACATTTCAACGGTCTCACAGTAGGAAGTTAGGAGCAGAAAAAAGTGTTTCCTTCCCAGGGGCACGGTCAGCGTCAGGGGGAAACCCTGTATCAAAGCGCTGAGCAAAGCAATGAGAGGTTCCTCACACTCAAAGCAAATGATCAACTGATACTTACGTTGTTTAAAGACATCAAACGCTCTCTTCAGTGTACTGAAAAACACGAGCAGGAGAGTGAGCGAGAGAGCGAGTGAGTGAGTGAGTGACTGAGTGAGTGACTGAGTGAGTGACTGAGTGAGTGAGTGAGTGAGTGAGTGAGTGAAAGGGAGAGAGAAAAGGAGAGCGAGAGAGAGTAAACGAGAGAGTGAGCGAGAACGAGAGAGAGAGAGAGAGACTGAGAGTGAGTGAACAAGAGCAAGCGAGCGAGTGAGCGAGAGAGTGAGAGAATAAGATTTTGGACAGAAGAGCAAATGAGAGCGATAGCGCGAGTTGGAGTGAGAAAGAGAGTGAGAGACAGAGTGTGAGTGAGGGAGAGTGAATGAGCGCCCACCGCCTGTACCTCACTTCTGACTTCTGAGTGGTTTTCCAGCTTCAACGCGGACAACAACCACCGCACACGCGCACACACATACACACACTCCCCCCCCCCCACACACACACACATATGCACATACACATTCCCCCACTACACACCCCCCCCCACACACACACACACAACACCCCCCCCACCACCTCACACACAAACACTGACTCCTCATTGTCTCCGTCACCTTCCCTGTCATACTTGCTGCTGCTCACGCTCACTACCCTGCTCACACTCACTGCTGCTCACACTCACTGCCCTGCTCACACTCACTGCTGCTCACACTCACTGCCCTGCTCACACTCACTGCTGCTCACACTCACTGCCCTGCTCACACTCACTGCTGCTCACACTCACTGCCCTGCTCACACTCACTGCTGCTCACACTCACTGCCCTGCTCACACTATACAAAAACATTCCCATGAAATGAATTAGAAGGTGTAACTCACTTGAGTTCGTTCTGACCGCACACTTTCTTTGACAGAGACACCAAATCCTTCCCGTAGCGCTCCTCAATGCTGGCCCTGGGTCCAAGAGACACACATCTGTAACTCTAACTGCCCCCCACACACATCTGTAACTAACAGCTGGCAGAGTGTCCAGTCCCCCCACCCCCCCACCCCCACCACGCCTACCGCCCCCGCCAGGAAGGTCTTGAGATGGGCGTTGAAGGATGGGTGGGCAAGGCGGGGGATGTGAAGCAGCTCGGAGCTCGGTGAGAGGAGGTGGCGGACAGGTCAGTATGATGTTAGCAGGTCACAGGTGCGGAGGAGTAAGGCCGTGGAGGGCGTCATAGGTGAGGACAAGGATTTTGAACTCGAAAAACTGCTGTATAAGTAAATACTCATACATAAAAAACTCCTTTGAAGTTACTGCAAGCGGATTAACAAACTCCGTCATTGAAACCCGTGACTGACGTTCCTCGCCAAGAAGCTCACAAACACCAACTCCCTACCCCCACTCCCCCCCTCCCCGATTATATCTCCACACAATACCAGAGCTGAGAGGTGTAATCTCGGAGGAGAGACTGGAGAGGTCACGAGGAGACCTGATGGAGAGTTTTAACCCGATACAAATTCATGGAATGTTACAGCACAGAAACAGACCCCTCTGGTCCACGGTGGTGTTTATATTCCTCTCCCCCCCCCCCTCACAGACCCCCTCTATAAGAGGGAGAAGGATATAAAGGGGTTGATGATGATGGTGTAAATTGGGAGGAATTATTTCCACTGGTCGGTAATCAGAGGGCACAAATCACCAAAGTAACAATGCAAGTGGTTAGGAGACATGTTTTACTAATAATAACCTTTGCATTTGATGTAGCGCCTTATCACGTCTTTATCTTTTGGAGGAATTATTACCCCTGGAAAAGCGATCCGCCAATCAACTAGCGATTCCCGGGGGGGGGGGGGCAAAAACTTAGGTAAGTTTCCTTACTCCACACGCCTCTGTTTACCGAGCAGTAAGTAGGAACCCGGTCGTTAGTCGATCGGCGGAGGTATGGAAGAGAAGCAGTGGAAGGTAGCAAAGTGGCGAAAAGCTCCCACTGACATTGGGATGGAACGGACGAGGGAGCAGCAGGCAGGAGATCCAGCGCCTTGGGACGTCCTCCCGACGTGAAAGGCGCTATACAAATGTAATCTTGTTGTTGTTGTTGTTGTTGAGGTCACTGGGGGCGGGGATCTGACAGGCCGTGAGACATTTGGAGCTGAAAATGAGGAAGGCAAAGTTGAGGAAGGTGCTGTTTTCTAACAACTCTGGAAATGGAGCCTTAGCAATAAAGCAGAGATTATTTTTGTACAGTTCTGCCCTGTGTTGAATTTTAAAGATCGAAAAGATCTCGCTGGCTGAGACTGGGTGGAATTTCAGCCCCCGGAGCAAAGGATCAACGATTTCCTCAACTTCCTGGTGATCTACTAACTGCTAAATCTAACCAATTGGTAATCATTAACTTCCTGTCTTTTCTGAGGACACCACACAATCCACCGTCAAGATATACAGTCTGGCTCATCAGCAAGATCTGGAAGGGCCGACCAGTCACTGGGGGCAGGGAATCCTCCCACTCAGCTCCGGTTAACCCTGCAGCCAAAGCCCTGGTGATCCTCGCTGAACAAGCAGTGGGAAAGCTTGTCAGACTGTGCTATCAATGGCAAGCTATGCGGTTTAGCTGATTAAACACCAGCAATTACTCCAACGCACACCCTGGGCTGCCCAAACCTTGGCTCTTGCCAACCAGGGCCTAATACTCTCCGGGATTAGGTAAGTAGGATGCATCCTTCCAAGGCGAGCGAGAGAGAGAGAGAGCTCCAAGGCGTATTCCATTCCAACAATCTATCTCCGGGATTTCCATGTGTAGGTGGGATGCAGGGAATTCTCAAGTTTGACTTGTTCTTATGCAACGGTGATGGGTTTCCGCACCTGTCAGACACCCGGCCGACCAAAAATATCAAGATATAATGTAAAAACAACGAATTGTAGAAATGTAGGACACCTTAGGCGGCCTTTGGCTCCATTACTTTGTGTCTGTATTTGCTCTTCCAAGAAGCGGTCCATCTTATTCCTAATTCAATACTCTTTCCCCGTTCCCTCTAAACCCTTTCCCCTTTCCTCCCCTTTCTGCTCCAGTACCCGTCAATTTCTGCTGGGTCCTCTTTATTTCGCCTGGAACCAACAAATCAGACACAGTTTGCTCACAGAATCAACATGTTCTTGTGATAGTGTTGGTGCCTGTCATGTTCCTGATATTGTTCGTGGTACTGGTATTGAGCAAGATTGCCAAGATTTATTCAGATAATGTTTCCAGGTTCAACAAGGAGTCAATAAGTACCCCTGTCCAGGAGCATGGACAATGCGACTCAGACACAGCAGGTGGAAAGTTGGCTGTGCAGGCCAGCTCCGTGAAGCTGATTCCACCGAGTCTGTGACGTCCTCCGGACCTGAAAGTCGTTCCACAATGTGATCTGTTGTATCCAAATCATTGCCGCTGTTTTATAATATATATCAGTTGCTCCTTGAGATGGGTAACCAACATTTATGTGGTTAGCCTTCTGGATAATATTTTGTATCTCAAAAATATTTTTATAAGTGTTTGTGTACATGGAGTCCTGTAGCTCAGTGGTTAGAGCACTCGCTTTGCAAGTGAGAGACCTGAGTTCAATTCCAGGCAGAGGGCGAAACCTTGGGCAAGTTTCCTTACTCCACACAGAGCCTAATAATAATCCTCCAAAACCAAAAACAATAATAAATTGGTCATTTTTAATCTACGACTGTTTGTGGGACATTGCTGTGCGCAATTGGCTGCCGCGTTCGTCCACAAATGTACAGTCAATTCACTTTACAGTGTGTTCTGTGAAGCGCTTTGGGACGTCCTCCCGACGTGAAATGCGCTATATCAAATGCAAAGATTATTATTATTATTATTATTATTTATCACGATAGCACCTTGATACCCCGTCCGTATTTTGGCACCAAAACTTCCCTTATTTTCCATTTGTGGCCGACCACAGATTTATATCAATTCACCGCCACTTCCTTTCTTTTAAAGTCAATGCAATAATAATTAACCATTCCACCATTCTATTACATCAGGGCTGATCTGTACCTGAACTCCATTTACCTGCCTTTGCTCCATATCCCTCGATATGCTGCTATAGACATCGACGCGCAGAGCAGTGTCATGTGTAGTGACTGTGTATTTGTAGGCAAAAGTGGCAGCGAAGTTACGCACAGCAATGTTCCCGCAAACAGCCACGAGGTGAGTGACCAATTTTATTTGGGGTATTGTCAGCCAGGACACGGGGAGAGAGAGACTCCCTTCTCTTTTCAAGCAGTGTTGCGGGATCTTTAACGTCCTCCTGAACAGGCACAGACCCGACCTCGGTTTAACGTCTCCACCTGCGATACCACTTTACACAAACCCTATGTGTTTCTCCCACACGATAAACAGTCAATCCACTTCACGGTGTATTCTGTTAAGCTCTTTAAGACGTCTCATCAATGTGATAAGTTGCTACGTCAATTGCAAGGATTATTATTATTATCTTCCAATCCTTTCGTTCCTCCATTGAGAATCATACGGGGGGGGGTGGTGGGGGGGTTGGGGGAAGTGCGGGGAAGCAAGCAAGTGATTCACGAGGTACGGCACGGACACTGAGTAACGGGGGGAGGGGGCGCGGGGGATATACACGTATACATCAATTTCGCCCACAACTACACAGTCGATTCACTTTACAGGATATTCTGTGAAGCGCTTTGAGACGTCTCATGGATTATTATTATTTATTATGACCTGGATTCGCAGACACAATGTAAGATAGTTGCATTAATAATAATAATAATAATACTTGCATTCAGAGATGACACTGATTTGGGGGCAACTGTAGAATCAGAGAAAGTAGCAAAGGTCCTACTGGAGAGCTTTGCAGAGAGATAACTGGCAAATAAAGTTCAATACAGATCAATGCAAGTTACAAGGAAGTGAGAATAGAAATCACAAGCGCTGAGAGTGAACTTGCCAAGCAGGAAGCAGTCAGACAGAGACTGAGGGGTGTTGGTTCATTACGTTTAAATAATATGAGGCAGCAACAAACAAGGCAAACAGGATGTTGTGTTTTATTACTAAATCAGCTGGGTTTTTTTTTTGCTCTCACAAGTCTGACACGTGAGAACCCATCACCATGTTTAAGAGTATCCAAACCAAGCAGTTAAGCTTAGATCTCAGACAACATACTCAGGCTGCACGTCGGGCCGGTGAGGCCACACCTTGAATGCTAAAATAATTATGGCCACCGTGAAATAAAGGGGCTGCCCAGATCGCAGAGACTGCGGAGGAGAGCAACGAGGCTGATCCCCCAGTCTTAGAGGAGCGAGGTGTGAGCAACGATTAAACAAGCTCAGGCTCTTCAGTCTTGAGAGAAGACGACTCAGTGGGGATCTCCTAGGGATGCTTGACATTTTAAATGGGATTGAAAAATAAACCCAGATTAATAATTTAGAGCAGTCGGGCCTTCAGCCTTTTTGCCCATACCCTTGGGAACTCCAACCCAGAACCCCTCCACCTCACCCCCTCCCCTCTTTCCTTTAAAGCCCTTCTCAAGACCTTCCTCTTTGACCGGGACTTCGGTCATCCTAACCACTAAGCTACAGGATGCCACTAGAGACTGAGGGCTCGGCCACGGGTACCTTTGCTTCATAAATTCTTCCAGCTCTTTACAGCTCTTCCTCCCATCATTCATGCGCTGGATAAGGCTATCATAGCCGCTGGTGCTGGTCAGGTCCGTGCTCTGTAAATGCAAAGAGGGACGTTAGCACCACAAAAGGCTGAAATAACGGACCTAGTTCACACAGGATAAACTGCCGGATTTCCTTTTGCATAAAAGTACTATAAAGCATCCATTTAGTTTTCTAATTATCACCCCACTCCACTCGTGGTCTGCTCTCCGCCACCCCACACCCCTTCTAAGTAGCGCAGTGGTTAGAGCATTTGCCTCACAAGCCAGAGGACCCGAGTGAGATTCCTGAAGAGGAACTCACTCATGTGATAAATAGCACAAAAATGCCAACTTCCTTGTTGGAAATGAACCGTATAAACTCCCAACAACTTTGTTTAACAACTTGCTGGAACTTGCTGTCATCCTCCCACACCCTGCAGTTAAGATGCCCCTGAACTGAGGGAAACTTCCCACAAACAAGCGTGAAGTGAGTGACCAATTTTATCTGGGTGATTGCAGACCAGAACACCAGGAGAGAGAAACTCCCTTCTATAATAATAATAATAATAATAATAATAATCCTTGCATTTGATATAGCGCTTTCCACGTCTTCTAGACATTTCAAAGCGCTTCACAGAATAGACTGTAAAGTGAATTGACCGTATATTTGTGGGCGAACGCGGCAGCCAATTGCGCATAACACCGTCCCACAAACAGTCGTGGATTGAAATTGACCAATTTATTATTATTGTATTGTTTTGGAGGGATTATTGTTAGGCTCTGTGTGGAGTAAGGAAACTTGCCCAAGGTTTCGCCCTCTGCCTGGAATTGAACTCTTTTCAAAAAGCGCTGCAGGAACATTTAACATCCATCCGAACAGGCACAGACAGGAGCTCAGTTTAATGACGATGTCTCTGACAATGCGGAGCTCTTGCACCCAACAACAACAACAAATTAGATTAGTAAGCGGCTTTCAGTTGGCGGGATGTCCCAAGGCAGAGACAGCCAGAGATTTGGATCCGAACTGGGGGTGTGGATCAGGAGGCACGGAGGTGTAATGAGGGTAGGGGTAGGAGGGTAACTGAAGGCCCAGTCAAAGAGGAGGGACTTGAGATGTGCCTTAAAGGAGGCAAGGAAGGGAGCAAGGCAAAGGGAATGTGGGATGGAGCTCTGAAGGTGAGGGCAAAGATTCTGAAGGCCCGACCGCCGATTGTGGGGCAGATTGAGCGGGGAACATGGAGCAGGCCAGAGTCTGCCGAGTGGAGACAGATTGTTAAGGGGATAACAGGTCACAGAGGCAGGGAGGACCAAGGCTTTGGAGGGCCTTGAAAGGGAGGACAAGGATTTTGAACGCTATCCTCTGGGGAATGCGGAGCCAGTGGAGTCGGGCAAGGATTGGGAATCATAGGGTCACGGAGCATTGGTGCAGGAGAGGACCCAAGCTGCAGGGTTAATGAATGATATGCAGCTTGTGGAGGGGAGAGTTGGGGAGGCCCACAAGCCCACGAGAGTTGGCGTAGTCAAGCCTAGATGTACCCTGCGCTGGAGCGTCAGGCTCAACTGTCAGCTCAAAGTCCCTAAAGTGGGGGTTTGAACCCGCAAACTTGTAACTCAGAGATGAGAACGCAACTGACTGCGCCCCAGACTGACACATAACAATTGCCTTCTGATCACAAGCGAAACATTTCATTGAGTCACCAACAATCATCGCAGGTTTGGACTAGAGATATCCTGGATTAAGACAAAGCAAGGACTCAGTTCATTCAGTGACTGCCACATCCACACATCTCAAAGCAGATTTACTGTCTCGAGTACTGACTGGGTATTTGAGCGGGCGGGAGGTGAGCTCAGTAGCCTTTTTGCACACAGCAACTTTCCGTACACAGCCACAAGGTGAACAACTGATGGATCAGGAAGATTATTGGTCAAAGATAGCAGGAGGCATTCCACGTCGGGGACTTTGAGCTCACATTCCAGACTGATGCTCCAGCACAGTGCCAGAGACACCGTCATTTGGATGTAACATTGGATGTTCAGGAGGACCTTGAAGATCCTGCTGCGCTGACAAGAAACGAGATGGGAGTTTCTCCTGGTGTCCAGGCCAACGATTCGCCACATTGTCCTGTAGAGTCCCGTAGTGAAGTGGTTAGCGCCCTCGCCTCGCAAGCGTGAAGTCCTGAAGCAGACTAGTTGTCACCTCAACAACAACAACAACAACAAGATTCCATTTATAGAGCGCCTTTCACGTCGGGAGGACGTCCCAAGGCGCTGGACAGTTGGGTCAGGACCCGAGCAGGGGGGAAACGGTCAGGGTGATGGGAAGAAAGGGAGGGAGCTTGGATTACTCCAGTGCACTCCTCACCGGTCTCCCCAGCTCCACTCTTCACAAGATCCAGCTCATTCAGAACCCTGCCGCCCACATACTGACCGACCCCAACCAAACTCCGTCCCCACATCTCACCAGTTCTGGCCCAGGCTCCACTGGCTCCCCATCACCGAACGGATCGACTTCAAGATCCTCACTCTCGTGTTCAAATCCCTTCACTCTCTGACACCTCCCTCCCTCTCCGACCTCCTCACTCCCCAGTCCAACACCCGGCACCTCCGCTCGACTGGCGCCGGCTCCTGCTCGTCCCTCGCACCCTGCGCCCCACCATCGGAGGTCGCGCTTTCAACCACTGCACCCCAAAGCTCTGGGACACTATCCCTCAAATCCTCTGCTTTGCCCACTCTCTCCCCTTTTTCAAGTCCGACCTGAAAACGTTCCTCTTCGACTGTTCTTACCTTCCCACCCAACACAAGTTGCTGTTGTTGTTATCTTACAAACAATTAGCCATGGGCTGTTTTAGCGATTAGTAACATAGACATGCAGTCTTGGAGAACGCAGGTAATCAGCGATCAGGAATGTAGACACAATGTGGTTAGTTATCCTCAGAATGATCATCAGTGCCTGGGGCAAATTTGTAATATCTTCAGATATTCCAGGACAGTTCAGCCCATCAAGTCCACACGGGTGAGTGAGCTGCCCAATCTGAATCCACTCCCCCCACTCCCACCAAACCCTCCCCCACATCCAGTAATATTCCTTCTCTTCATGCCTCTATCCAATTCCCTTTCAGAAGCATTGACAAACTCCAACTCAATTCCGGTTTGTAGCAGAGAATGATACATTTCCCCTCTATGTTTATAATAATAATAATTCTTGCATTTGATATAGCACCTTATCGCGTTGTTGAGATGTCACCAAGCACGTCACAGAATATACTGCAAAGTGGATTCATTGTGTATTTTGTGGGAGAAATGCAGGAGGCAATAGCATACAGCAGTGTCCCACAAACAGTCGTGGACTGAATGCCCAAATTATTTTTTTTAAAAAAGGGATTATTATCCCAGGAAAGTGATCAGTTGATCCGACTAACAACCAGGTTCCTACTTACTGTTAGGTAAACAGAGGCGTTTGGAGTAAGAAAACTTGCTTAAGGTTTTGCACCCCCCTCCCCCCCCCCCCCCCCCGGGAATTGAACTTATGAGTTGAGAGTGTTAACTACTAGACTACAGGACTCCCTATGATCCCAGTCTCCCTTCAGGCCCACAATAACATCAGTTGGAAAAACTTGATGATTATCATGTTGGAACATTGAACACATTTACAAATAATAATTGAGGCAGACTGAAATCTGAGCAGATTTACAGCACTTTCAACATTGGAATGTGCTTCACGGTTAATTGCTGTCATATTCAATGACCGTGGAATTGTAAGAAAAGGCAGCAGCCAATTTGTAACAAGCATCAACTCGCAAGCAGCCGTGAAGTGAACAAACTATTACATCTGGGTCATTCTAGGCTAGGACACCAGATAGAGAAATTGCCTTCCTTCTCCTTCCCACCGCAGGAGATCTCTAACATCCACCTGAACAGGCACAGCTAGGACCTGGCTCTTAACGTCTCAACCGAAGGACGGCACCTCCAACATCGAATTCCCATTCATCCAGCCAGTCTGCCCCTGGACTGACACCAACAACAACAACACATTACATTTACATAGCGCCTTTCACCTCTGGAGGAAGATCCAAGGTGCTGGACAGTCAGGGATTTGGACCCGAGGTGGAGGTGAGATAAGGAAGGGTGGAGGGCAGAGAGGGTAGGGGTAGGTGGGTGACCTAAGGCATGGACGAAGAGATGGACCTTGAAGGAGGCAAAGGAGGGGGCAAGGCAAAGGGACTGGAGAATGGAGCTCCAAAGCGAGGTGGGGAAGGCTGAAGGCCTGACCGCCAATGGTGGGGCAAACAGCCAGTCAGAGCCAGCTGGAAAGTAACTGTTTAAGGATCTGAAGAGAAGAGAAGGGCAATTTGCCATGAGTATTGATGATACAGAGCGATGATTGCAGGTTTTGTTTTGTTTTGTAAAACAACGGATAAAATCTTGGTTCCTCATAACTATAATATTTCTGCAAAGATACAGCACCACGCTTCCACACAGGATAACATCTCAAAGAGCTTCTCTAAAGTGTTGTAGCTGTGTGTTTTGTAGGCAAACATAGCAACCAATTTGCGGACAGTAACAGCCATGAAGTAGGTGAGTGACCAAATTATTAATTTAGTTATATATTTTTTTAAGCGATTAATACCCTCGGAAAGCGATCCACCAAATGACTAACAACCGGATTCCTACTTACTGCCAGGTAAACAGAGGCATGTGGAGTAACGTTTCGCCCCACCCGGGAATCGAACCCGGGTCCTCTCGCTTGCGAGGCGAGTGCGCTGACCACTACGCTATGGGACTCCACAATATAAGTCCCAACTTGGGGCTTGAATCTTCTGACTCAGAGGTTAGAGTGCTACGATCGCGCCAGGCTGACGCACAAACTATACTGTGTACAGCATTGGAGAGATTTTATTTCCTGGCTAGACTTGATCTGCATTTTCAATCGAGTGTGGTTTGGGGTTCATTCTTTGTAGAGCACAGGCTGACAACCCCCAGGCATGAGGAACACGCGCATTCATCTGACTCATCCCACAATGAGCACCATTCAGCCTTCTTTGCCTTCCTCTTCTGTGGTCGAGCATGCGAGG